ATTCATTATTGAAATTAATCATATATATATATATATATATATATATATATATATATATATATATATATTATAATTATTTAAAAAAATATAATTCCTTCGCTACATAAGAGTTCTCATGTTTCAAAAACAAGAGCCAAAAACTTCAACATAATTGTGAAAATTTAATTGAATTAAAGTATCAATCCCTGTTTCATCCTCAAATGAAAATGTAGGATTCATGAATTTTTCGCTTGAGCAAAAAGAATGTCTAATTACTCTCCAAACTTAACAGAAGAATCGTGATGAAATCGTTCATAAACGAAAATATTTTCATCATTAATTAATCATAGCTAAGAATCAGAAGCTCATGGAGGATTGAAATAAAGCTCAAGTATAATCCTTGCATGTCAAACGTCTTATGGATTGAGTTGGATCTTTTCTAATTGATCTCTTTAGCTCTAAGTTGAAATGATGATCCCTCCCACGTGATCAAGTTTTCCTTTCTACTGTTCCCTCTTTTTTAAAACATATTCACCGTTCTCTTGATGCTTCTTTAATGAACTTGGGAAGATGGAAGCCAGCGTATGTATGTTCAAACCATTACTGAAGGCCTGAATGATCTTTTCCCTCACACCATTGCTTAGTTGGGTAGAAAATGGGTCTGACACAAAACAATTTTGACCTGTTCGCTTTCTTGCTGAATAACCTAAAAGGTTTTTCAGTGATTCTTATGACAAATGATGTGAAGATCGATAAACGTCTTATCCGAAAGCTTGGAAATAAAAGAGACTCTATTAGTTTAGTGGGTTTTTAGATATTAAGCATTTTGTCGGGTAGACAATTTCGCTGTTACACGATTTGGACAATTTTGCTGTTAAACGAGTTGGACAATTTCGCTGTTACACGATTTGGAGAATTTTGCTGTTACATGATTTGGAGATTTTTGCTGTTACATATTTGGACAATTTCGCTGTTACATATTTGGACAATTTCGCTGTTACACGATTTAGACAATTTCGCTGTTACACGATTTGGACAATTTCGCTGTTACACAATTTGGACAATTTCGCTGTTACACGATTTGGAGAATTTTGCTGTTACATGATTTGGACAATTTCGCTGTTACATATTTGGACAATTTCGCTGTTACATATTTGGACAATTTCGCTGTTACACGATTTGGACAATTTTGCTGTTACATATTTGAGCAATTTCGCTGTTACATATTTGGGCAATTTCGCTGTTACACGATTTGGACAATTTTGCTGTTACACGATTTGGACAATTTCGCTGTTACACGATTTGGATAATTTTGCTGTTACATGGTTTGGACAATTTCGCTGTTACACCCGGTATATGGATGTTAGAATTTAACAGGCGCGCGATTAAAAAGTAAAATCGTAACAGTCAATGTATGTAAACTAAGTAAATTTGTAAAGTTAAAACCGAATAAAATTGATAAAAAATCCACTAGAAATTGGTCACGAGAGAAAAAAAAATGAATATTCTCCCCAAAGAGCATAACGGACAATTCTTTCCTTTTGTTGACAAAATGTCGGCTTTCTCAACTTGATAATGACAGCTTTACAAATTAAATTCGTTTACATAGTTCAATTGTTAAGATTTCATATTTTAATCCCACGCCATTTGTATTCTCCCGATCAGTAACCTTAAATTGTTTTAGATGTTCCAGTTATGAATAAAATAATTTTCGCCGACGATTTTTCTCTGATGAAGGGATGGCCAAAGGCTCCTTAGAAATGTCTACCCCTCTTTTTAGTTTGGTTTGGATTGGTTTGTTTTACGGCATATCAACCCCAATGGGTTATTTAATGCCGACAAGATTTTTATTATTGGTAATAATTTTTATCTATCTATCTATCTATCTATCTATCTATCTATCTATCTATCTGTCTGATTATATCTATCTATCTATCTATCTATCTATCTATCTATCTATCTATCAGTCTGATTATATCTATCTATTTATTGGTTTGGTTTGGTTTGTTTTGTAACATATCAACCTAAATGGGTTATTTAATGCCGACAAGATTTTTATTGCTGGTAATAATTTCTATCTATCTATCTATCTATCTATCTATCTATCTATCTATCTATCTATCTATTGGTTCGGTTTGGTTTGGTTTGTTTTATATCATATCAACCTAAATGTGTTATTTAATGCCGACAAGATTTTTATTGCTGGTAATAATTTTTATCTATCTATCTATCTATCTATCTATCTATCTATCTATCTATCTATCTATCTATCTATCTATCTATCTATTAGTTTGGTTTGTTTTGTTTTACGGCATGTCAACACCTCAATGGTTTATTTAATGCCGACAACATTTTTATTGCTGGTAATATTTTTTTTCAGAATGTATTGTTGGTAATATTTTCCATCCCAAAAGTATTGCTGATAATAATTTTTTACATAATGTATTGCTGGTAATGAAACCTATATTTACATGTTTTGACCCCAGTTTTGGGGTTAACTATTTGCCCATAGCTGGGACCTTAACAGGGTAGACCTGGAGCAATTAAGAGGTGGTTCCACGCTCCTCAAAACCTCCTGGTCAGAGGCCTTGCTGCTGGATGTAGTTTATCGTCTGACCCAGGACGCGGATGTAGTTTATCGTCTTACCCAGGACGGCTCTTTTAGTATTCAGATGTTGGCATCTGTCCTATTTAAGGCAATTATGAAATTTTGCAGTATGAAATCACTATTTATACATGGATGGTTGGATGGATTTTCAGTTTAGAGTGGCCATTTGCCTGTGACCTGCAATATGCACTCTCTTCATCAGAGCAACATATCTTTTACTGGTGCACCATGTACCACTTGTCAGATGATACGACAATAGCAGGTTTTTGACTAAGGATTTTCTATCACCTAGTGGTGCGTTGGCCGTTGTCTCCTATCAGAAGCTCATCCGCCCTTTGCTAAACCCTTGCAGGATTATTTGAACTCAGTGTTTTCATTATGCTAGACTTGTTATAGGTTTTAGTTTGTTCTGCTATTTAATCATAAGCTGAGATATAAGACATTGTCTTACCTTGACTGGCCCGGAAATTCTCCTGATTTAAATCCAATCGAGAATCTGTGGTCAGTCTGCAAGGAACGACTTTGTGGAATAGATATACAAAGTACTAACATGTTTCATTGGAAAAATACGGAAAAAATTAAATAATAAGGGGATTATTCGTTTTGTTTTAATTAATTTGCACACGGGTGTATAATATACATTTCTTAAACTTTATTTTTAGTGGATACTCGTATTTAAGTAGACGCTCCGTTTATTTCTTAAACAATAGATTTATTTATTTTCGCCTACAGGTCTGAATAAAAAAAATCCATCCCCTTTCTTTACAAACTGAGTAGATATGTTTATTTCAAGAGTCAGACAAAAATCTGTGTTTAAAGCCCGATTCAGATGTGCTTGGTAAGTGAAGCACTCTGTAGCCGAGAGGTGAAAGCACGTCAGGTAAAATCACGGTTTTTCCCAAGGGGTACGCAGATTCATATCGTGCCTGAGATTTCGCGAATATTCAAGCCGGTAGACGAAAATAAATAAATAAATAAAAAAAAAAACAGAGCGTCTATTCAAATACGTGTATCCACTAAAAATAAAGTTGAAGTGATGTTTACCGACCTCCCCACGAGTTAGGATGTGGCACAATGCCGAATTTCGTGTAGGGCAATCCGAGTCCGCTGAATTAATGTATATCTATCTATCTATCTATCTATCTATCTATCTATCTATCTATCTAAATATATAAATATATATATGTATATATATGTAAATATACATCCTTGTGCAAATTAACTGAAACAACTGCTTTAGTTTCCTTTCTTTTACCATACGGTCAGTTTGAAACCCACTGGTGTGACAGGGTGTAATCGATTTCTATTTTTTCCTTATATTGGGTCATTTGCAGTGGTGTGCAGTAATATGAATCTGTTTTCGGGGTATATGATGAAATTTGTTTGGCCTTGAAAAATATTGCATAATCCGTGATTGCATCAGATTTTCATCACTATTGTCTCGACTGTCGATTAGTTGTCCTACGGCCATTGTCTGCGATGCACGTTACTCCAAGTAGGCGTACGAAAATTGTAACGCGGCACGACAACACTGGCAAGCTTTACCAGTGAGCAAATCAAAGTACTATAGACTGGCCCGGAAATTCTCCTGATTTAAATCCAATTGAGAATTTGTGGTCAATCTGCAAGGATATATATATATATATATATATATATATATATATATATATATACATAGATAGATAGATAGATATGCACATACACGCACACACACACATGCACACACACACATACACATGAAATAAATCGATGAGTTTCTGTGAAAATTTAACAGCTCCATAGGAGGAACGATAAATTAACTCGAGGTCTTGCTCCTTTTTAAATGTGTGGTATAGAGGAAGGTCTGTAAACCGTTCATTTTGGTAATGGCAAATGTTAGGTAATATTTCCTTTGCTCTCTGATTTTTTTTTTCGTATCTTCTGCCATTTTTTTTTTTCATTTTTATCAATTTTTCTGCGCTTCTAATGCCGTGTCGAATTTATCTCGGGATGATGACATCTGTCAAGGGATCAATCAGGGCACTTGTGTCCTGCAGACTGGAACAATCCAATCTTGGTTACCATTCTACCCCTTAGCCACCCCACCAATTCCAAGGAGTAATTTAAGAAGCAGTTCAGATTTTTGCGTCAAATTCAACACTTCACACTCCATACCCCGAACTCTATTGGTGAGGCAGAGAATGAGGAAGAATCACGGAAGGGGAAGCTAAATGACGAAAAAAGCTATCACATATTCTTTGGCATGATTATATATATATATATATATATATATATATATATATATATATATATATGTATGGAGAGAGAGAAAGGGAAAGAGAGAAAGAGGGGGCATAGATAAAAGGGTTGAGATGGTGGATTGAAAATAGTAAACCTTTTAAAAGCTCAGGAGAGAAAGAAAATAAAAAAAAAATCAAGGAAAGAAAGAAAATGAAAAAACCGAAAGATAGATATGAACATAGATAGAGAAAGATAGATAGATAGATAGATAGATAGATAGATAGATGAAGAGAATGAGAAGAGATAGATAAATTGAAACAGGATGAGATAGATAGATAGATAGATAGATAGATAGGATACAGGCTAACATAGATAGATAGATAGGACACAGGCTTAGATAGATAGGATACAGGCTAACATAGATAGATAGATAGATAGATAGATAGATAGATAGATGAAGATAGATAGATAGGACACAGGCTTAGATAGATAGATAGATAGATAGATAGATAGATAGATAGATAGATAGATAGATAGATAGATGTACATTTGGGAATGACATGGAGAAAAAGATTTGTAGACAAACACGTATTTTATCTGTAATAAGGTCGATAATATATTTTGTGAAAACCAATAAAAAAGATATGATAATTCCGTTCAAGAGTTTCAGATTAGTTTTAACATTCAATAATTTCTTGACGTCAGAGGCTTCCCATCCCATCTCAGCCATGCGTGACAAGGATCTCTCTGGTTTTTGAATAAAACAGCCAATGATTTTGATTTTTGTGACCGTTCTAATATTTGATGAATAAGGAAGAAGGCGACCGGAATAAAGAAATTCATCAAGTGAATGTGAAGAAGTAAGTGAAGAAAAAAAATAAAATGGAAATGCACCGAAATAGGAAAGAGAATGAAAGAAAGAACGAAAGAAAAATGAAGGAACGTATAAAGACTGAATTTTTAGAAAGAACGAAATTTATCGATAAACTTCCACTAAGGAAGAAAGCCAAGTCAAGATGGATTCTAGAAAAAGAGAAAAAAATAGGAGCGGGAAAGAGGATGAAAGAAAGAGCGAAAGAAAAAAAGAAGGAGAAACGAAGGGAAGAACCTATAAGAAAGCAATGAAGTAAAAAAAAAATGAAAGAAATGAAAAGAAAAATGAAAAATAAACATTATTAAAAACTGAATTTTCAGAAGGAACGAAATTTGGTGGTGAATTTCCATTAATGAAGAAAGCCAAGAAAAGAGGGATTCTAGAAAAGAGAATAAAAATTGAAGGAAAAAGAATGAAAAAAGAACGAAAGAAAAAAGAAGGAGAAATTAAGGAAGGAAAGTATAAAAAAAAAGAATGAAATAAAAAAGAATAAAAGAAACGAAACAAAGAAAAATGAAAAGTGAAAAATAAACATTGTTAAAGATTGAATTTTGAAAAGGAACGAAATTTGGTGATAAACTTCCATTAATGGAAAAACCCAAGGCAAGATAGATTCTTGAAAAAGAGAAAAAATAGGAGCGGGAAAGAGAATGAAAGAAAGAACGAAAGAAGAATGAAGAAGAAATAAAGGAAGGAAAGTATAAGAAAAAATGAAGTAACAAAATGAAAGAGACGAAACAAAGAAAAATGAAAAATAAACATTGTTAAAGACTGAATTTTGAGAAGGGACGAAATTTGGCGATAAACTTCCATTAATGAAGAAAAACAAGGAATGAGAGATTCCAGTAAAAGAGAAAAATAAACGGCTCAATAGGAAAATAGGTTAAAATAGAGAGAAAATGTGTGACATCCAGATAAAGTAAAAGGGTCGGGTTCTGAGAGAAAAATAAAATAAAATTAAAAAGTGAGAGAAAGAAACGTGGAAGAGAGAGAAAAAGTACGCGAATGAGAGAGAGGTACAGTGGGAACGACGAGAAAGAGAGTTAAACGAACAAGGGAAAGATAGAAAAAGAGATAGAAAAAAGAAGGAGAGAGAGAGAGATAGGGAGGAAGCATGAGAGAGATATAGAAAAAAAAAGAAGATAACGTGATGGAGATTATGAAGAAAGAGATTGAAAAGTGAGAAGGAGAGAAAAGGACGAGAAAGAAAGAAGGTAAAAAAAAAGGAAAGAGAAGTGTGTGAGGGATAGATAACGAGAAAGTGAGAAAAAAAGAAACGAGAAAGAGAGAGGGAGAGTTAAAAAAATGAGAAAGTGAGAGAAAGCGACTCGGAGAAAGACAGAGAGAGAGAAAGATAGTTTAAAAAGAAATGTTAAAATTAAAAAAAAAACAAAAAACAAACAAACGATAGAAACAGAGACAGAGGGGGTAAAATGAGAAAGTGAGAGAGGGAAAGAAAGAAAGGGAAGATGAAAAAAAAGAAAGAAAGCAAAAGAAAGAGATAAAAGAAGAAAAAGAAAGAGAAAACGCGAGAGGGAGAAAATAAGTGAATAACAGAAAAAGAGTAGGAGAAATTTAAAACAGGAGAAAAAAAAAAGAGAGAGAGAGAGAGAAAAAAAAGGCAAATGGCTAATTTTTACGTTAGATTTTTTTTTTCCCATAAGGCCTTGGGCACTTAAAAGAAGAAAGAATAGTAACTTGCGCCTACGCCTGCAGGTGGAAAAGGGAATCTGAGATGGGGGCTCGAGTCAAAACCGATTACTGATCTGAGGAGTTTAAATCTAAGTAAATCTGCAGAGACGCATTAAAAGAATGTGCCATTTGATACGCAGATGAAGCAGGGGGAAGGGGGAAGATAAGAAAGTGGATAAGTAGATGCGTACATAAGTATAATAATAATAATAATAATAATAATAATAATAAACTGTAAGCCTCCAAATACACCGATAGTTATGATGATGATGATAATGATAAAGTCAGTTCTGATAGTCGCTGCTGTGGCAACGCTTGAAAAAGACGAAGAGAGACAGAGAAAACATTAACAAAACAAAAAGAAAAGAAAACTAAACAAAAAAAAAAAACCCCAAAAAAACAAAAAACGAAGCATTTCCATGGAATACTGAAGATTGATAATGGTAGCAGTGTTAGCGAATAGAAGTAGTGAGGCATTATGGGATACATGCAGTGCCGGTGATATTCTAAGTGTTGTTGATGATGAGAAGGCTTTGCAGATAATGGTGACGAGGAGGAGGAGGAGGACGTACCTCTTCACTTTCTACCCGCGCAACCCATCAGACCAACATTAGCATCACCCGCTAGGGTGCGGGTTTCCATAACATGAGTCCAGTTTCTTACAGAGACGGGTACCAGAAGAGCATGAAATAGAAACACACGCACATACTCACGCATACTTACGCACTTATGTACAAAGACATAGAGAGAAGGCATGAGTGAGAGCGAGAGAAAGAGGGGAGAACAAGAGAGAGGGGAGAAAAGAGAGAGCGAAGAAGAGAGAAGAAGGAAGAGAGGAAGAAAAAGAGCGAGAGAGAGGAGAGGGGGAGGGAAGGCGAGAAAGAGAGAGTAAGAGTGCTAGGGAGAGAAAGGGGTGAGAGTGAAAAAGAAAAAGAGATTGAGAGTGAGGACGAAAGAAAGAGGGGAGATCAAGAGAGAGGGAAGAAAAGAGAGAGCGAGGAAGAGAGAAGAAGGAAGAGAGGAAGAAAGAGAGCGAGAGAGAGGAGAGAGGGAGGGAGGGCGAGAGAGAGTAAGAGTGCTAGGGAGAGAAAGAGGTGAGAGTGAAAAAGAGAAAGAAATCAAGAGTGAGAGCGAAAGAAAGAAAGAGGGGAGAGCAAGAGAGAGGGGAGAAAAGAGAGAGCGAGAAAGAGAGAAGAAGAAAGAGAGGAAGTAAAAGAGCGAGAGAGAAGGGAGAGGGAGGGCGAGAGAGAGAGAGAGAAAGAAAGAGTGCTAGAGAGAGAAAGGGTTGAGAATGAAAAGAGAACGACGTCGAGAGTGAGAGTGAAAGAAAGAGGGGAGAACAAGAGAGGAAGGGAAAGAGAAGGAGAGAGAGCAAAGAGAGGGAGGAAGAGAGAGCGCGAGAGAGGGGAGCGGGAGGGGGAGAGAGTAGGAGAGCGTAAAAAGAGAAAGAGATCGAGAGTGAGAGCGAAAGAAAGAGGGGAGAGGAAGAGAGAGAGGAGAATAAGACGGAGAGAAGGAGAGAGCGAGAGAGATAGAAGAAGAAAGAGAGGTAGAATGATGGCGTGAGAGAGAGGGGAGAGGGAGGGAAAGAGAGAGGGGGAGAGCTAGGAAGAGAAAATGAGAGTGAGAAAAAAAGAGGTCGAGAGTGAGAACCAAAGAAAGAGGGGAGAGCAAGAGCCAAGGAGAGGGGAAGAGAGAGAGAGAGAGGGGGGAAGAGCGATGGAAAAAGAAGAGAGAAAAAAGAGGAAGGAGTGAGGGGGGAGAGAAAAAGGTGAGAGTGAAAAATAGAGTGCGATCGAGAGAGAGAGGAAAGAGAGAGAGACAGTGAGAGAGAGAGAGAGAGAGAGAGAGAGTTTGCTGCGTAACTGGGATAGCTGTGTGTTTGCATATTTCTTTCCGGTGTTTGAGCCTCGCTGAAAAATTAATAACAATTAGATTTTGAAACGCTAATTTTCACTGTACCCACGCCGGCCCTCTTCACTGAACAGATCACGAGGGTTAACAGAAAGAAAAAGAAACAAAACATTAAGGGCATTGGCTAAAGTCATAAAAGCAACCAAACTAGCAGTTTTAACATCACAGATACCACAGCAAATGTTGGGCGAAGAAGTGCCTGAAAACTGATTTATCAACCGTAATTTTTAATGATGAATGTAGAGCTAAATTGGATGGAAATTGGAACTTTCATAGCTTTACAGGGTTGCTCAGTTCTTTGAAGACATTTGAATGTATTTAGTTAAAGACGCATAAGTCATGACACTTTCTGAATGAATAATAGTGAAATTTTTCGTGATATTTGATAACTGCTTCAAGAGGAGGCCTGAAATTTTGACATGTACTAATCAGATTTTCTTTAGGCAGAAAGAATAGATAGATAGATTGATGGGACACAGACTGAGATAGATAGATAGATAGATAGATAGATAGATAGATGGGATAGATGAGATGGGATAGATAGATGATAGATAGATAGATAGATAGATGAATGAATAGATAGATAGATTACAGACTGAGATAGATAGATAGATAGATAGATAGATGGATAGATAGATAGATAGATAGATAGAAAGAATAAAGACTGGGATAAATAAATTATGAACAGACTAAGATAGATGAATAGATAGATAGAGACAGACAGAGATAGATAGAATAAAGACTGGGATACATAAATTATGAACAGACTGAGATAGATAGATAGATAGATAGATAGATAGATAGATAGATAGATATGAATAGACTGAGATAGATTGATAGATAGCAGAAGATAGAAAAGGAATAGAATGAGACAGATAGATAGATAGGATAGAGACTGAGATAGATAGATAGATAGATGGAAATTGAACAAAATGATACACACACACACACACACACACATATATATAGATATATAAAAAAATGAGCAGAATGATTATAAATATATATATATATATATATATATATATATATATATATATAGATAGATAGATAGATAGATGCCACTTGGATAATTACTCCCTAGAGCAGAACTACCTTAAGACAATGGAAAGGGCAAATGTTTTAAAAGTTTTGCTTTTATTTCAATAACAAAGATAAAATACAGACTGAGATATTTGGGACATTGTACTTGTTAAGGCGTATAGTCATGCAAGCCACAAAGCTAGCAGTTTTACCATTACTGATACCAACACACAAATTAGGCGAAGACACTAATTTATCAAACAAATTTTAATCATGAATTAGATGAACCTCATTTAATCGTGTTATGAGGACGTTGATAGACTTCGCTCTCGACTATGCTCCACATGTAATCGTCCAATAGATTCAGATCTGTAGAGCTAGACGGTCATGTTTTTGGGATGACGCGTCCGAGGAACCATTTTCAACCATTTTCTTGGGTCGTCTTGGAGTTATGAGAGAGCAGTGTCGTGTAATCCTTTGCCCACGTCCTCTATCCAAGGACTCACAACTCTCCCCAACATTGCTTTATAATCGGTAGTATTGCCCCCCTTAAGTTCTGCAGTAAGAATTGAGGCGGTATCACATCTCACTCTTACGATTTCAAGAACCATCGAAGGTGCCGGTAACTTTGTTTACATGACGGAATATTCTGCATAACTGTCTGTCATTCCGCCTGTTGACCTTTTGGTTGTGATGAACGTATTTTTTTCCCGTCAGAAAAAAAAGAAGCATTACAAGCTCTTGATGTTTTAACTTGCCCAACGAGCGCTTTGCGCGTTTTGGGAGGTTATCTTTCGACTTTGCAGTCAACGAATTCGTCTCCGCATCATATATGACTTGAAACGAAGGTCCTCATGCACGTTTCTTCCGATCGAGTGCATTGAAATTTTGAGCTCCTTAGCAATGGCGTTAATTAACTTTTCGTGATTTTTATAGACACTTTTCTGCATCTTTCGTACAAATTTGAGTAACTGATGCCATCAGGATCCTTAGCAGGCGTTTCCCGTTTAGCTACTGCCTCAGAACCCCCGTCATCGGCTTCCAGCTGTTTGCTAACTTTGAAGCGACCGTGCCATTTTTATGAAGCGAGGACTCTCTAAATCACTATATCTGCTTTTATGACAACGATTGTAGCAACCCTGTATGTACGAAATTCATCGGCCGGCTTCATTAAACTAGAAGAACGTTCAACACGTAATTTAAACATGCCAGTTGCTCTTTGTAACATGTTCACTTCGTAATGATGAACTTCTTTTGAAACTTATCAAAAACAGATAATTCTTTCAAGTGGGTGTCCTGTAGGACAATTAGCAGGCATTTTAAGTTTATCTATTGCCGTAGAATCCTATCCAGTGGTCTCCAGTTTTTTGCGACCTATGACAATAAAAACCCGGGTAACTTTCAGGAAGTGAACAATTTCTAAATCATTAATGCTCTGCCTTTAAGGTAACAATTACAATATACCTTTTCATTTGATGAGTTAGCTTGATGTTTGTCATTATGTTGTAGAGTAGTTTCACAGTGGAGGCTTGTATTTCACTAAGTCGGTCCTAAAATAGGTTCGACGTACAAAACGTTAGGAACTTGATATAATAGGTAATGACGCAAAGAAATCTAGTTGTGGTGGCCGATACTTTAATATCCGACTAACGGTCATCCGACATCGACTGACTGACCAACTCCTTGAGCAATTGCTACTACTCCTACTTATTATAGGTGGGAGAGTCTATTAACAATAGAATAGGTGTGTTCCACTATAACACATTATTTATCTGAAAGGAAATGATCAAGTTAAAGAAAAGTAAAAGCTCTTAAAAGACGTGTTCTCAAAGAACTGAGTAACCCTGTATGTACCAAAATCATCGGTCGACTTTATTAACTAAAAGAACGTTCAACGCGCAATTCAAACAGGCCGGTTGCTCTTTGTAATATGTTCATTTTGTAATGAAGAACTTCCTTTGAAACTTATCAAAAACATAATTTTTTCAAGTGGGTGTCCTGTAGGACAATTAGCAGGCATTTTAAGTTTATCTACTGCCGTACAAACCTATCCAACAGTCTCCACCTTTTTGCGAACTATATCAACAAGCGGGCGTGCAACTTTTACGAAGTCAAATCTAAATCCCTATATTCTGCCTTTAAGGCAACGATTGCAGCATACCTTTGATGAGTTTGCTTGATGTTTGTTATTATTTATCTGAAAAGAAATGATAATCATAACAAGCTAGAAAAAAGTTATAGTTACTGAAAGAAATGTATTGAAAGAAGTGAGCAACCCCGTATTCAACAGACACGACAATAGTGGCGAGGTATAATTATTGGTCCCTTCCAAACTAATAAAGGTCACTCGATAAATAAATGGAGGTTTTTGAACAAGATTCTACAGTTCACAACCGGGCATCTGATCTATGCAGGAAGATGGTCGTTCACATGTTCTCATACTGAATATAACCCACTTTGCTAAAGATTTGTTTCAATAATACCAGATCATTGGAATTGATTACAGTTTTTTTTTCAGATATTAATTCAGTAGAAATTCATTTATTATAAAGAGATTTATAATGAAATGGAGAAAGTCCGACAATTATTTTAAGACATTTTTTATGTTTATACATTCTTTTTATAGATACAAATATTTTAAGTAAATGCTCTGTTTTATAATAAACAGTATTAATAACATTTACCAGCCTGAATGTCCGAGAAATTTTCATAGAAAATATTCGTCCTCCGACGGGAATCGAACCTGCATCCTATACGGAACCGTCATTTATCCTGGCGTGATCTCAACCGATCGAGCCACGAAATCGTTCGATAAGCAAGGTCGAATTTACTGCTTTTAAACTTCAATCTTCCATGAATCTCTTACGTACATTCATATCTGCTCAAAGCGTATCCAAAATGCAAACAAATGATACAGGTTCGATTCCTGTCGGAGGACGAATATTTTCTGTGAAAATTTCTCGGACATTCAGGCCGGTAAATGTTGTTTAATACTGTTTATTATAAAACAGAGCATTTTACTTAAATATTTGTATCTATAAAAAGAATGTATAAACATAAAAAATGTCTTAAAAAGAGATTTATACTAGAAAGAAAACAGATTTGAAAATATTAGATAAGATATAAAAAATAAAGGGTTACGAAGGTTATAGAATATCAACAAACCCATATTAAGCTGTATACAATTAAAATAGTTTATATGGGATTCATGCGAATCAAATATACTGATCCCCCACGCATCTGCACACACACACACACCCACCCACCCACACACACACACACACACACACACATATATATATTATTAGACGTAGAACTGTTGAGCGTCCACTCGTGTGTGTGAGTTCGTGTATGCTAAGTGATTGCGTGGCTATGCTAACATTGAATACGAAAGAAACATTCTCGCAACGAGCCGAAAAACAACAAAAGCGGAGATCAAATCAATTTCATAGTGGTCATCCGGGAATTTCAAGGATATAATCTTTTATAGGTCAGGACAAAAGGTTGTAGCTCTTTTTTAAGTTTATTTAAAAAAACAAAAAAAAAAAAAAACAATATTTAGATAATTAGCTGGACAAACTGGAGACAAGACAAATTCGGTTATTTACATTATTCGGACTGTTATCTTCATCATCATTGTTATATTCATAACGTTTCGGCCATTGTACGCTCCGACCTTCTTCAGCTGATTGTAATTTCGAACCGAACACTGTTCCTTTTATAGGCATTTTAGAACATTATTACAGTATTCGTACCTGCTTCTATTCAGTGTCGGTTTCAATTTTCAATGTAGATTACTTCGAGGATCTGTAGTTTTAATTTGTTATTTTCTTGGTGTAGGATAGTTGTGCTATCAATCAGTAATTTCTATACTGTGAATGTAGACAGAAATGTTGTTGTAAATATCTCCCAATGGACGAGTTGTCAGACATGTGTAGAGTAAGACGTCTTGATAATGTAGTTGCCGTAGATCCAACATATATATTTGTTTTTCTGTCGGAGATACATTCTACCAAGGGACATTTGAATTGATATATAATGTTAGTTTTGCGTAATACATCAGTTGGTGGGGAGGAGTTATTGAGAATAATTAAATTGGTTGTATTCTATTTTGTACAATATTTGAATAATTTTATTTTTTATTAGAATCCATATTTCAAATATTAAAATATTACAAGATGAAATTCTTATGGCTTATTTATTTGATAAATCTAGCCTGAAAACATCGCCAAGTACTGTTGGTTAATATCTTATAATTCCATCACTTCTCCTCCTAGCCATGGGTTAAATAGTAGATTATTTAGCCTAGGTTGGCAGTCAGTCTAAGAGAAGTACAACTCTGAATTCAAATCTCAACCATTTGATGGCAGATGTGAAAAAAACCATTGCGTGCTCGTTTACGCCGTTCAGCTGAAAACATTGCAGCAGTGCACGGGAATGTGACCTAAAATCCAGACCCCCTCTATTCGTCATCGCGTGCAGGAATTAAACCTCTCCATAACGACGTTACATCGTTTCCAATTGCACTCTCGGTGAGTCGATTATGCTGATCCCAAAAATCGCGAAGTGCGCGAAATGCATTTTTGTTTGAATCTCCATTCATTTTTGTAATAGGCTTCCATAACTTTATTCTTTATTATAGGCTATTACATGTATCATTGCCTGATGAGATGCTATGTTGTGCATCGAAACAATAATGCATTTTTGTAGCAGTAATATGCATGTTCGAATGTAATAACCTATAATAATGTATATATATATACACGGTGGGGTAATGGATAGCGGCTTGGATTGAGGAATCGGAGAGCCGAGTTCGAATTCCAGTCGAATCCATTACATTCACTTACGCGCTAATACCCTTGGGAAAGGTGTGAATCCTCTTTTTCTCCCTCCAGCTATGGGTAAATAGCAGGACAGACTGGGTTCTATAGCCTTGGATGCCAACTGGTTTAGGAGAAGGACAACTCTGAATTCAAAACATGAGGAGAGTCGTTTGGGGACCTTGTGGCACTTAGTGCACCAGGTCTCAGTATTCGGCCCTTCAAAAAGTGTGGATGGTTCTGCACGAAGCCTTCACCACTATAATCAAATCTCATGTGCTGTTGCCGTGCTGTCAGTTTCCTAGGAACTGATCAGCTTGACTCTCATACCATACTTTGAATTCCATGGGAGTGTCGAGTATATATATATATATATATATGAACCGTATATATATATATATATATATATATATATGAACCGTATATATATATATATATGTATGTGTGTGTGTGTGTGTATATAAACAGTTATATAATGTTGATTTCTATGTCCACACTGTTTATACCACTATCTATGAATTGTGAGAGAAAGTGGGGGGGGGGAGAGACATGAGAGGCAGGGAAGAGAGAGCGGGCGATACAGAGAGAATGGGAGAGAAAATAGAAACAGAGAAATGGGGGAGGAGAGAGCGGCGAGAGAGAGAGAGGGGAGGTAGAGAGGGGGAAGAGAGATGAGGCATGAAAATGATGCGGAAAATAATGTAATTTATTATCTGGCTGGATGACAAGAGACAATGAGCGAAACACGGGAAGGCAGATACAAATGACAAAGTGCAAAAATTGCGATACATTAAAATTCTTTTATGCAGAGATAGATCAAAAGAAAGACACGGGAGAGGATGCAGGAGAATATTGCCATGATTTTTTTCGCATATAACCCTAATTCATGTTTATGTAAGAACATGGACAGGCAACGAAGATTGGAAGGGATAAGGGAGAAATTGTGAGGATACAGGCGAAGTTTGAGAGAAGGGAAGATGTATAAGATAATGGATAATCTTAATCCCCTTACAAGGGATAAGGGAGATAATATGAAGATAGGAGTAAAAAGTGATGGAAGTAAGATGAGGTGATGGCTAATCATAGTCACACACTACGAAAGTCCGATAACTATTTTAAGATATTTTATTGTCATACGTCATTTGTATATACACAAATATTTAACAGAATTAGTACTGTCCCAAGCCAACGTAGACAACTGTATCAAACAATCAAAACAAAATGGTTTGAATCCGTCGATACAATAAAAACAATATTTCTACACGTGAAAGTACTTGACGTAATTTTCAGTTGACAATATGAATAAAATAGCGTTTTCTAAATTATTCTAGTTGCTAAGGACATTTTGTTTATTGTTAATAGTTACTTTGTTTTTAATAAACTCATTTCGTTTTTTTGTCGACATTGGACGAAACGCGTCCCCTAATAATACAGTTTTCTTATTGTCTTTTACCTTTATACAAATATTTTAGTAAATGCTGTTTATAATAAAACAGTATTATCAATATTTAACGACCTGAAGGTCCGATAAATTTCATAGAAAATATGTGACCTCCGACAGGAATCGAACCTGACAATTTCGTAGTGTGTGACGTCATTTGCTTACGTTAAGATACGTTTCGAGCAGATATGGACGTTCGAGGGAAATCATGGAAACTTTGTATTTTAAAAGGAAATCGAACTTGCTAACCAGACACTCCTTCGTAGCTAAGCTGGTATAGCACGTCAAACTATATGACAGTTCCGTGTAGGATACAGGTTCGATTCCTGTTGGAGGACGTATATTTTCTATGCAAATTTCTCGAACGTTCAGGCTGGTAAATGGTGTTAATACTGTTTATTATAAACAGAGCATTTACTTAAATATTTGTATCTATAAAAAGAACATATAAGCATAAAAATGTCTTAAATAATTGTCAGAGTTTTTGTCCATTTCATAATGTGTGACGTCATTTGTTTACATTTGGATACGCTTTGAGTAGATATGAATGTACGTGAAAGATTCATGGAAGATTGTAGTTTAAAGGCAGTAAAATCGACTTTACTAACTCAAACGTTCAGGCTGGTAAATGTTGTTAATACTGTTTATTATAAATAGAGCATTTACTTAAAAATATTATATTATATATATATATATATATATATATATATATATATATATATATATATATATAATATAACAATAAAATAATCGTAGTTGTATTGAAAAGAAAAAAGGTGAGGATAAAAACACGGGTACATGACAATGAGCAATCCTAATTGCAAATGACGGGATAAATGAGATATTTTGCAAGATTATATTTGAGTGTGAATAGTACATTAACAATTTCTTGAGAATAACACTTTTTTTCTGATACAAGTTCTACTATTCTTTTCTGATACAAGTTTTACTATTTTTTCTGATACAATTTCTACTATTTTTTTCTGATACAAGTTCAACTATTTAACCCATAGCTAATGGGAAGAGATTCATTCGTACCTTTCACAAGGGTATTTCCGCATAAGTGAATGTTATGAAACTGACTGGTATGCGAAATCGGCTTTGCCATCTTTCATCCCGGGCCGCTATTGGAAGGGATAAGGGATATAATATGAAGATACAGGGAAAAGAGAAGGCAAAAGAATATGAGGTACTGGATAATCTTACTCGTGGAATTTCTACAGGCCCAACCAGTTAATAAGAATATAATAAGTAAAAACATTATTGGTAAGAATTTAAGTAAAAACAAAATGAAGACATACAGTACGGGACTGACCTTTCGTTAGTAATTTATGACAAAATGGCTGACATTAACGAAGCAGAACTCTCAGTGATTTTTCTTTGGTGCTTTGTATAGAAATGTTAATGTCTTTTATCGTTCAGTTGATAAAGTGGGCGGCTAAATAGAGTCTTTAATGAGGGTCAATTAGTGAAAAAATAGGCAGAAGTGATTATTACCATCTGTCTAGAAGAGGAGGCTGGGAGGGATGGAGAAAAGAGAGGGAAGAGAGAGAGATGGAAAAGAGAAGACATAGGTAACGATAGAGAGAAAGAGAGTAGCATTGGGAAAAGAGAAGTAAAGATGGCGTAAAAGAGAAAAAGACCGAGAGAGAGAGAGAGAGAGAGAGAGAGAGCAACATTGGAAAGACAGAAAGTGGACAGGAATAAAGATAGGGTACAAGAGAAAAACGGAGGAAAAAGAGAGAGAGAGAGAGAGAGAGAGAGAGAGAGACAAAGACAGAGACAGAGTAGAGAGATGCTAAAAAACTGGGAGTAAGAAGAAAAGAGAGAGGTGAAAGAGATTAGAGTTGAAAAATGTGACATAGATAAGGATTGAAAGCTAGAGAGAGAAGGAGAGAAAGAAAGAACGAAAGAAAGAAAGAAAGAAAGAAAGAAAGAAAGAAAGAAAGAAAGAAATAAGGAGTGTGTGCGTCAGATTGAAAATTAAAAGTGGTAAAGGGCTGTAAGAAGAGGAAAAAGTAAGAATGCAAGCAAGCATGCAAGTAAGCAAGAAAGAAAGAAAGAAAGAAAGACAAAAAGAAAGAAAGAAAAAAAAGAAAGAAAAAAGACTGCATCTAATTGGATGATATAAAAGTGGTAAAGATCAATGTTGGGAAAGAAAGAAAGAAAGAAAGAAAGAAAGAAAGAAAGAAAGAAAGAAAGAAAGACTGCATCTAATTGGATGATATAAAAGTAGTAAAAATCAATGTTGGAAAGAAAGAAAGAAAGAAAGAAAGAAAGAAAGAAAGAAAGAAAGACAGAAAGAAAGAAAGAAAAAAAGAAAGAAAGAAAGACTGCATCTAATTGGATGATATAAAAGTGGTAAAGATCAATGTTAGAAAGAAAGAAAGAAAGAAAAAAAAAGAAAGAAAGAAAGACTGCATCTAATTGGATGATATAAAAGTGGTAAAAGTCAATGTTGGAAAAGAAAGAAAGAAAGAAAAGAAAGAAATAAGGAGTGTGTGCGTCAGATTGAAAATTAAAAGTGGTAAAGGGCTGTAAGAAGAGGAAAAAGTAAGAATGCAAGCAAGCAAGAAAGAAAGAAAGAAAGAAAGAAAGAAAGAAAGAAAAATAAATGAAGACGATGCAGAAAGAACAGGTTTGGAAAAAGGGAACGTCGACAGGGCGAGAGAGAGAACAGGCTGGGGAGGGAGAAAAGCAAAAGAGAATGCGAGATAGAAAGTTAAATTGGGAAGAAGAGAGAGAGAGAGAGAGAGAGAGAGAGAGAAGACATTGGGGAACAGATAGTGAATGAATACAGAGCTGGTGAGAAAAAAAGTGAGAGAGATGACAGAATAAAAGATATAGAGCTACAGAAAGAGATGGCGAGAGAGAGAGAGAAAAAGGGAGAAGAGCGATAGAAAAAGAAAAAAAAAACAGATTTGGAAAGGGAGAAGCATGACATTGGTAAAGATAGAGAATTAGAGAAAGAGAGAGAAAACAATCTGGAAATAGTGAGAGGGGGAGTAGAAAGCGAGAGAGAGAGAGAGAGAATGACAAACGAGATAGAAAGTTGAACTGAGACGAGAGAGAGACAGAGCGAGCGAGCGAGAGAGACAGAGAGAGAGAGAGAGTGAAGGCTTGGACAAAGACTGAGAAAAACAGAAAGAGAATGAAAGCACAACAGAGGAGAGAAAAGTGAGAGAGGCGACAGAGTGATATATATAGAGCAAAAGAAAACGAGAGGTAGAAGACTGACCGAGACAGAACAAGGGGCGATGGAGGTAGAGATCAAAAGAAGAAGAGAGAGAAGATGGAAAAAAAACCAATAAAGTAAGCGGTCTAACAAGGGTTTGAGAAAGACAGAGAAAAAGAAAACTCAATGAAAAAGAAAGAGAAAGCGAGAAAGAGAATGAGAGAAGGAGAGAGAGAGAGAGAGAGAAAGAAGAGAGAAGTAAAGAAGAACGGAGAGAGAAGGAACGGACATCAAAAGATGAAAAGAGAGAAAAAAGAAAGATAAGGTTGGAACGGATTGTGACCGAAAGAAGGAAATACAGAGAGAGAGAGAGAGAAAGAGAGAGAGAGAGAGAGAAAGAGAGAGAGAGTGATCGTCTATAGAAAAAGAGACAGAGAGAGAGAGAGAGAGGGAAAAGGAAAAGAAAAAGCAGAGATAGGGAGTGGACTGTCCACATATTTTTCCTTCAGGTCTGAGTCGTTCAGTCTGTTGTATTGTAATTTGGGTGCTGCGTTTCATGGAGTAGAAAGATTCAATTTTTTTCCTCCGTGTTTTGTGCTGACGGTGCATATACGATTACAATAACTATGTTGAAAGGCTTTCCTTTCAGTTTAGCTACAAGAATTCTTTCAGATAACTGACAGTATCCCAGTACGCTGTTCGTGATGTCTTGAGATAATATCAATCCAAGTGCTTCACTTTTCTCTCCACCTGCTAATATAATCCTGTGATTGGAGTTATCAAATAACACCACCAGTTCTAGACAATGATGTTGATTTACTTTGTGTCTTGGAAGAGCAGGGCAATTGGTGCGTTGGAAGATATGCTAACAGTATAACCTTCCCTCTTTTCACACTGTTCATATATTTTTCCTTCAGGTTCGGATCGTTCAGGAGTCTTTTCCATTGCAATTTGGGTGCTGTGTGAGGAGTCTTCAGTTTCCGTAGTTTCATTCTGAGTTTGCATATAACATGGAGGTATCCCAGAACGTATTTCTTCATCCAACTCGTTTTTAATTTTTCTTTCCGCCCGCAGATATGATTCTGTGGTTGCCACTGACAAAATCTCCTTTGTGTGGTCATCTAGTCTCATTTAAAGAAATTGTTAATCCGCAAAGTAGTTTTTTTTTGTCAAAGCGTTTTTCCAAACAAATCAGATTATTCAAATGTCATCGATTGGTTTGCGAAATTGAACGAAACGTAGACTTTGTAAATCTCGACAAAAAAGATGTTAGCGATAAATAAATACTGTGAGGATTTGCCAAAAAAATTCTAGTTGTATAAAAATAGGAGGAATTCGATAAAAAGATAAAGAAAACAAAAAAAGCAAGAAAAAAACAAACACACACACACACACACACACATATATATATATATATATATATATATATATATATATATATATATATATATATATATATATATATATATATTTATTATGGAATGGACAAAGTCCGACAATATTTTAAGACATTTTTATGTTTATACATTCCTTTTATGGATACAAAAATTTAAGCAAATCCTCTGTTTTATAATAAACAGTATTAATAACATTTACCAGCCTGAATGTCCAAGAAATTTTCATAGAAAATATACGTTCTCCGATAGGAATCGAACCTTTATCCTATACGGAACCGTCATATAGCCTGACGTGCCTTTAACCAATTGGAAGATTGTAGTTTAAAGACAGTAAAATAGACATTGCTAACCGAACGCACCTCTGTGGCCCAATATATATATATTTATATATATTTATTTCATGACGTGTGACGTCAGTTGTTCATATTTGGATACGCTTTGAGCAGATATGAATGTACGTGAGAGATTCATGGAAGATTGAAGTTTAAAGGTAGTAAATTCGACCTTGTTAACCGAACGCTCCTCTGTGGCCTAATCGGTTAAAGTTGTGAGACTAAGAGACAAAGACTGTTATATAGATAGATAAAGAGAGAGAGAGAGAGAGAGAGAGAGAGAGAGAGAGAGAGAGAGAGAGGTATTATTACAGAAATACCAATATGGCGCCACTTTGAATCTATTATCTCATCTTCTGACGAACAACACCAAGGTTTTGTTCCTGAGGATGAACAAAGAATTCTCAAAAGCGTTAAAAAAAGAGAAAAAAATGAGAAAAAGAAAAAAAAAAAAAAGAAAAATATGGAAATTCCAGCATTATCTTGAAACTACTGTTTATTCTCTTATGTGACAAAATGTAAAAAGAGACTTCTTCTGTATGCCGCGTCGCTTCAGAACACAGGCGACCATGGCTCTCCAAACGTCCCTATCTTGTAGCCTCCAGCAGTTTTCTCCCTTTGCTAAAGTTCCTCCCCCCCTGTTCCACTATCCTTTCAAACAAGCTCTCTGCATTCTCCTATCTCGCTTGCCTTCAATATTCCTTGTAAGCATTAAATTTTCCAATCCGTTCGTCCTCTTTATGTATCCCAGAAATTTCATCTGAATCTTCCTGATTCTGAATACATTCATTCTTGTTGTTGCCATTTTATGTAAGTCTTCCTTGTTGCTGACTCGCTCAGAACATTATTTTTTAGTGGATACCCATATTTCAGTAGACGCTCCGTTTATTTTAGAAACGATAGTTCTATTTCGTCTTCCGGTCTGATCCCTCGATAAATCTTGTTAAATACTCCGTCCGATAGGATTCGAACCTGCGTCCCCCATCGTAGGAGAAACCGTCGTTTGATTCGATGTGCTCTTAACCACTCGGTTACGAAGAGCTTGAAAATCAGGCAATCTTTTATTTGCGTTTAAAATACAATTTACTCGTTTCAGACTTTCTTGAATGTCATAAATGCTCAGTTTCATATCTAAAACGTAAACAAAGCAATTTCTAAAGAATTAATGGATTTTTATTTATTAATCCGACATATTTTTATTGCTTTAACTGTTATTTTTTAGAAGCTTGCTTATTATGAAGCTCCTGCGTTTAAAATAATATATATATATATGTATAGATAACAGTACCACCAAAGATTCGCTCATATTATTATTAAAGGGAAAGACAAAATGATTTTTTCATTACTAAATTATATTTTTTGGAATCTTGTGTAGCGGGTTACTATAAATTAGTATAGGGAATGTTAGCGTCTTTTTGCAATGAAAAACATTGATTTGGAAATTCTTGCAAAAATCAAATAATAGTCGAATTTTAACGAAACTTTCAGGACTTATTCACAAATAAATGAAAATATTTACGAAATGTTTCTTTTTAGACAATCTTGGTAAAAATATTTTTTATTTAATTTATGAAATTTCGAGAAATTCATTTTTGTAGGGCCTAGTATTAACATTAATTATAAGCGCAAGTCCTTGGAGAATTTGAATCATTTTTTAAACTTGACTCCATTTACTGCAAAGAAACTAATATTATTTAATAAGAAAATATTTTAATTGTTTTTATGAATATTATGGATACTATTGTCTTAAGAAAAAAAAATCGATGAATAATGAAATTTTACAAGAATTGTTTTTATTTTTAAAAATTTTAATTAGAATAATTTATAAAGTTTTATAGCTTGCAAAATTCTGTATTGTAGCGGTTAGGTGATGTTGCTATTAAGTAAAAATATTTTTACTAACCATAAATAGAAAAGCTTACTACAATTTAGAGAGCCTCCAGTATTCTAAGAAGAATTTATAATTTCTTGTGTGAGGGTATAAACGTGACGATTTTTGTAAATACGGGCGTTTATTTACGATATTATCAAACGAGCGGAGAGTTAACTATAGTAAATTTAATGCTAAACAACCTAAAATTCAATAAAACATTAGATTACTTAGAATATGTTTCTATTTTTTAAGATTTAGTTAAAAAATATATTTCTATTTTTTTAAGATGTAGTTAAAAAATTATATAAAGGCTTGCGTTATATTCAAGTAATATTCATGTCCCCCGTAGAAAAAATTACCAAACGTAACTCTCTTTAGATAGTTGTCAACACCTCATAAAAATACCCACCTTCATTTCTGCGATATTTTAAACTAAAAGTAAGTAATATTTGTTTCAAGTCAGATGAATTGAACGCGAATCAGTTAATATTCTTCGAATAAAGTTTCAGAAATAAATATTTTATTTGCGAAAGATTTTTAATAAGGAGAATCACGTTGTAGAGAGATTATAAATATGGCTAAAATCAGGGCTTTATGGCGATTTAAAAAAACAAAAATATTCCAATCATTTTAAATTATACAAATACAGAAAATTATTGTAGTTGTTGGAAATATTAAATTTAATCTATTAGATTGAAATTAAAACTCAAATAAAAGCTTTAAGAAACATTTTTCCCTTTTAGAAATTCAAAAAATAAAGAAGCACTTGATTGTTGATTATTTTGAAAGCAAATAAAAATGTGTGCACATTTAAATATTTTAGCTGGCAATTACAAGACAAAAGCGAGCAGAGAGCATCTTCATGTAAACTCTTTTGCCATTGATTCTCAGTGCGTAGCGGACTACACTTTTGACATTGTCAGACTAAATTCAGTTTGGAAAGGTTCTGTGTAATTCTTGAATGGATATAGCGGGTGTAACAGAAAAAAAAATGTCCAAATCTATTAGATTGAAATTCAAATTCAAATAAGAGCTTTAAGAAACATCTTTCACTTTTAGAAATTCATTTTAAAACTTAGGTATCGCTTTTCTTTAGAGACATCAATATATATATATATATATATATATATATATATATATATATATATATATAGATAAACCTAGTGAGCCAGATAAACCTACCCAGGTTTCACCCTAAGCGGATCGTTAGGGAAAGCTGGCTAAAGAGGCAAAAGAGAAACGCATATTTATAGGCGATAGTCAAAATTAACCCCCACCCCGGTGTTCTTGTGTTTTTCTTTATCTTTGGTCACGTGGTATAATTTCAAAAATTCGAAGGTTTTTCGAAATGAGTATAGTTACCTATATTTGTATATATATATATATATATATATATATATATATATATATATATATAAAATTTACATAATTATTTGAAGATAGATAGATATGAAAAGACTGAAATGGATAGATATGAAGCAACAGATAGATATCAAGAGACTGAAATAGACATATAGATATCAACAGACCTAGATGGATAGATAGCGAAAATACTGACACAGATAGAAATGAAGAAACTGAGATAGATATGAACAGACTAATATATATATATATATATATATATATATATATATATATATATATATATATATATGCCCTATATCGTAGTCAATTGTCTCCGCCTGTTATTCCGGAAGACGTGTTTGTTGAACTGATGAAATTTGCCACGATGTCAGTTGAGTTCAGTTTCGACGGAATCATGTACCGGCAGATTGATGGTGTTTCGATGGGTTCCCCTTTGGGGCCAATCTTAGCAAATATCTTTGTTGGGTTCCAGGAAGAGAGTATACTACTAAAATCTGATAAACCTGACGTTTATTTCCGTTACGTTGATGACACTTTTTGTCTCTTCGATAACGAGATTAAAGCGGACCAATTTCTTGAGTCCCTTAACAATATACATCCGGCCTTGAAATTTACACAGGAAAAGGAGGTTGATTCATCTCTTCCCTTTCTCGATGTACTCGTCAGCAGATCTACGTCAGGTTTCATTACTTCTGTTTACCGTAAACCGACGTTTACTGGTTTTTATATTCGTTGGGATTCTTTTTGTCTCAGGAAACGCAAAATTAATTTAATTAAAACCCTTACCCATAGGGCTCTCATGATCTGTTCGGACATCAAGTTGGATGATGAACTCAAGTTTATTACTTCTACTCTCTGCAATAATGCCTACCTATTAAGCACTGTTCAAGCAATTATTAAGAACAAAATTGCTGAATTTAACAAAGTGAAACCTCCTATAGTAAAAAGATGTCCTGTGTACCTACGCCTTCCTTGGCTAGGTAGTATCAGTGATAGATTTGCCAAGCAGGTTTCTACCGCAGTTCGACATTGTTACTTTGCCGCTAACACTCGTGTTGTTTTCTCTGCCAGGCCTGTTCTTCCGTCTATACGTAAGGATGTTCTCCTATCACACCATAATAGTTCATTAATTTATTCCTTTAAATGTAGTTGCGGTTCGCACTACATAGGGAGAACGACGCAAAGGCTAGATGCTAGGATAAAACAATACGTTCCAGCGAAAATCTGAAACCGGAAGTACACTCCCTCGGACATTTTGACCAATACGTATGGTTCTTCCATCGCCGTCATAGTGCTGTTAGTTTTAATGTGGACGCTTTTATCATCCTTAGCAAGTCCCACTCAAATTACCGACTAAAAGTGTTGTAGGCCATTTATATTCTATCTTTAAAGCCTTCTCTTTGTAAACAGAAGGAATTTATATTAGACCTCCAACTAATTACCATTTAAATATTTTTTTCCTTCTTCCCACCAATAAACTTTGTCCATTGTTTTTTTTTATTATATAATTTACTCTATTTACCTCATTTTAGCTCTGTTGAGCGAGGTACGAAACCCGTTAGCTGGCCCGTTTTTCATTTTTACTTTTTATTATCATGAGTGGTAATAATAAAACTAATTTTTGTCTGTTGATGGCAATGATAAAATTTTGTACTACCAAAACATATATATATATATATATATATATATATATTCATTGTCCTCTTATTACTGAGAGAAAAAACAAGAACAACATCTATTCCATACCTGAAGATGTCTGTAGGAATAGACGAAAGCTTTTAGTAAAAATAAGAACTAATGCAACAGAAATTTATAAAAACAAGGATCTTTTTCATTCATAACAGGTTCGGGGGTTTTTGTATATTATTTGAATTGTTTGCGACGATGGATTTCTCGCCAATTAAATCATTAACCTTTGTATTTGTTTTTGTATGAATAATTCATGAATTTGTAAATTGATTGCACCTTTATTGAAATTATATATATATATATATATATATATATATATATATATATATATATATATATATTCAGAATTATTCTAGGAAATGTAACTATATATATATATATATATATATATATATACACACACAGGTATGAAGAGACTGAGATCGAGAGATAGATACATTGATATGAAGAGACAGATGGATAGATATGAACAGATTGAGATAGATAGATAATGAACATACTATGATAGATAGATAGATAGATAGATAGATAGGTAGGTAGATTTGAAGAGACTGAGATATATAGATATAAACAGACTGATATGAATAGTGATAAGACTGAGATAGATATAAATGAAGAGTCTGATATATATTCTCTGGCAGGATTCGAACCTGCGCATTCCCTTTGCATAAGAAACCGTTGTTAGATTCGACGCGCTTTAGATATTCTAAGGATGCGAAAATTAATACACTACCCTTGTCAAAATGATTGAATTTCCCCGTATCCTTAGTAAATAATATTATGAATATATGTGCTTATAAAACTCAGTAAATTTCAAAATAAGTCATTCCAAAATTAGTTTGAAAATGAAACAGGACTAGGGACTTTAATTTAATTCTATAATTGAATTTGAAGTTTTTAGTTTCTGTTTTTGAAACATGGTAATTCCTGTGTAGCGACGGAACCATATTTTAAAATTAGAATATATATATATATATATATATATATATATATATATATATATATATATATTTAAGCATTTCACCCCAAGCAAGGCGGGAAGCCACTAGGACGCAAGGGGTTACAGAAAATTTAGAGCAAGATCAGATAGGAGTGATAGAAGAAAGGATGAGGGTAGTGGATAGATCAAGGCAACTGGAGATGTCGATTGACATTACACTTGAATAGCTGGAGATTATAGCTCACAGGGAAACAGGAGAAGGGAAGGGAGTTCCACAGGCGAGAGGTGCGAGACATGAAGCTATTAGAGTAGAAGAGACGGCTACATTTAGGAGTTTCGACAGTGAAGGGGTGAGAGCGGGATGCCAGCCTCATAGGGCGTTGGAACTCATGATGTCTGGGAACCAGCGAATGCAGCTCATCGGAGCAATTGCCATGAAAGTATTTGTAGAACAGACAGAGGGAGGCGACGGCACGTCTGTGAGAAAGTGACTGTAGACGAGACGCCAGGGCAGGGCCAACCATATTGCATATCCGCCTCTGGAGCCTATCAAGAACCCCGAGGCAAACAGAAGGGGCACCAGACCATATATGGCAGCAATACTCCATGCAAGGGCGAATTGTGGATTTGTAGATCTGTAGGATCGACTCCGGGGAGAAAAACTTCCTAGCGCGGCCCAGGGAGCCAACTTTCCTTGCAGTGGACGAGGCAATTGACTCGATGTATTTATTCCACCTCAGGTCAGCAGTCAACGTGAGACCGGATATATGGATTTGTGTATTTAGGCAGCAATCCTTCTTTCATGCACATTTCATTGTATACGACAGAAAAGGTGCTTTTATTTAGTTTTTTATACAATTTCTCATGCAATCTAATAATTTTTTTCATATGATAAATTATAAAAAAAACTGTCAGAATGTTCTTTTTATCCGAGCGCTTTCGGCAATACATTTAGCCATTTTCAAGGATTAAATATTTTAACTGTTAAATAAAAAATAGTTTGTTGTATGTATGTTTTATAAAAAGTTTTCCTTTTTTAAAACACGGTCAAGATATTGTGTCCATGTTCAAAGTTAATATTAAGTGTTGTTTTTTTTTGTTTTTATTAATAAGGCTTCCATTATTTTTAGCCTTTTTTTGCACGTAGATGATGCTATTATATTAATGTTGTATATATGGATGTGTGCATAAATATCAATGTATATACATTGAGAGAGAAAAGGAGAAAGATAAAATGGAATATAATTAGAATTAGATACAAAGAAAGAATAGATTTCAAAAAGATCAAGAACCAAAGTCATAGTTATTAGTATTTAAACTTGAAGACATGTCATTGCAGTGTGTACTGTAAGTGGGAATTCTTAACAAATACTTTTTAAATTTCGCTCTTGTAATATTACGTAATAAGAAAGTCCCTGTGCAGCCGACAACATAAAAGAAAAAACAATGCGCATGCGTGAAATGAAAAATATAAAATGGCGACAATTTACTCATCGCACACAGCACAACTTAAATAGCCTATATCTAAGATTTCTTCCCAGACAATAAAATAGGCCAGTACTTTGCTTTATATTACTCAGTCCCAGTCTGTTTTGTCTTGAATCAGAACGCTATGTTTGTTTATTTTGTGTCAAACCCAATTCTTTTTGTCTTGCATATATTGTTTGCATGCATTATATTATTTTTTTGCCATGTTCGTTTCTTTTCTTTTTCTTGTTATTGCTTATTGCAAACATTGTCAATTCACTTTGTTGGACAGATCTGTGACTTATTTTGCTTTTAACCACGGCTACCCTCTCCACAAATAGAGATAAGGTTATATCGACGAATACACGGGACGCCATGGATCAGAGAAAAGACGAATGTCAAAGAATGATTAATGGGGTTGTTTAATTTAATGACATAAACCCTTGTTGGGTTATTTAATGTCATATAGGATGTTGACAATTGGACTCTATGCCAATGCTTCTAAAATTGAATTCATGAGCTTCAACCAATAAGACTCGATACAAACTGTTTCAGATGAATCGATAAAATCTGTCGAATATTTTACATACCTGGGAAGCGAGATAAATTCTACTGAAAAAGATGTGAAAATACGGATAGCTAAATCTTGGGCCGCCTTGAATAAAATGGTTGTAATCTGGAAATCTGTTCAACTATAAAAAGAACGTATAAACATAAAAAATGTCTTAAAAAATAATTGTCGGACTTTGTCCATTTTATAATGTGTGACGCCATTTTTTACATTTGGATACGCTTTGAGCATATATGAATGTATGAGAGAAAATCATCGAGAATTGTGTTTAAAGGTAGTAAAATCGACCTTGCTAACCGAACGCACTTCTGTGGCCCAATCGGTTAAGGCACGTCAATCGGAGGACGCATATTTTCTATGAAAATTTCTCGGACATTCAGGCCGGTAAATGTTGTTAATACTGTTTATTATAAACAGAACATTTACTTAAATATTTGTATCTATAAAAAGAATGTATAAACATAAAAAAATGTCTTTAAAAAATAACCAGTTATTTTATGACACAGAATGCCTCCATAATAACCTTCCGATTTTGATGCAGGATCGTAATGATTGGCTGAAGAGACTCGTGAATGTTAAAGCTAGGCTCAATCGAATAAAAAAAATAGTGTAAATATATGAACAATTATTGAGGTTTAATAATTGATTATACAGTGACTGACTGAGAGCTTGTAAAATATAGCCTTGTGTCAGATTTTGAAGAGCTGAAGTAGTTCAAAATTTCAGCGAAAGCGTTTGTCACTTTGTTTTCAAGCGAAGCAAGTATTTCTATTGAAAGAATAACTTGTTTTGATAAAGCCTATTTTTTTTTCCTTTTTTTTTGAGATGAACTTAAAATCGGTTCCTAAAATAATTTTCCTGACGTAGACTTTTGTCTTACTATTTACTAAATCCGCTTAGCGGCCATCATTGCCAACGTCAGCAAAAACCACCCTGTCTTCATTATCCCATCACTGTCAACACCGTCATCCCCTATTTTCAACGCAATTGCCACAAACGTCTGAACTACCCAACCCCAACAGCTATTACGGCTCGCACCAAATCGACCACCATGTTTGATAGAAGGATGTGACGACAGTGAGACCATCAAGCAAGACCATTGGTTTATTTACTAAACTCAGTACGAACAGGATTACTTGATGCTTAAAATGCTTGTTATTCCAAAGCGTTCAGTCATCTAAAGAACTGATTATGTTTGCTTCGTTCAGTTGGTTATAAAAAAATGTTATAGTGAAATTAAAAGCTATGTATTGGTCAGGTTTAGAAACGATTCCGTAAAGTTTTCAATAAGCTATCGAGGAATTCTTATTTATAGTGAGTAATAAAACAAATTGTTGAGAAGATCTGAGGAGCGGGGGGGTGAAATACTACACCGTGGGGATCTTAATTTTCGTGTCAGGGGGGAGTACAATTAGTGACAGTAGTCGAGGGGAAACATATAACGTGTGGTGGAATTCTGATTTGTGCTGCTGGAGTGGATTAAAGTTTTTGGTGAGGGGATGAAATCCTATATCGTGGGGATCTTATTTTTGGTGTCGGGGGAGTACAATTAGTGACAGTAGTCGAGGGGAGACAAATAATGTGTGGTGGAATTCTTATTTGTGCTGCTGGAGTGGATTAAATATTTTGTTGAGGGGATCTGAGAGGGATGAAATACTATACCATGGGGATCTTATTTTTGGTGTCGGGGGAAGTATAATTATTGAGAGGAGTTGTGAATAGATAACTAACGTGCTGAGGAATTTTTATTTGTGGTAATAGGGAGTTAGAAAAATTGTTAAGGGGATCTGAGGGGAGATAAATGATGATCTGGTTAAGATGTTATTTAGAGGTTTCAGGGAGTTAAAGCCTGACCGAATAAAACGCCTACTATTAAGACATTACTGTACTGTGCAAAAAATGATTCAGAAATAATTTTTTTCAATTATTTTTAACTTTAATTACAAATAAAAAAATATGCATATTATTATTAAAATTAATAATATAATTCGGAACTATTATTTTTTTTAAAAAAGAAAAGCATAAAAAAATGACCATTTTTGAGTATTTCACAAGTTTTCTACTGTGCCAAAAAAAGTGACAAATTAAAAAATTGTGTCATTATTTTAAAAAAACCTTGTAATTTTATTTCCATAACTTTATTCCAGAATATTCTTAAAAATTCTACAAAGTTCTAGAATTATTTGAAAGTATCTAAAAGAAACCAAAAATATAATTAATTCGTGAAATGTTATGAAAAGCTATAAGCACACACCGCAATCTGTTAAAGTAGCAATAGTTGCCCTATCAGAAGCTGGTAAATCGACTCGAGAAATCGCAAATAGTGTCAACACTTGTCAATCAACTGTCTCGAGGATTTTGAGAAGGTTCAATTGCACTGAAACATCTGTCAAGGTAGACAACAGTTATCTTCCATTTTATGGTGGGGACGCGGGAATCGGGTTGACAGACGAGTCTGTGTACAACGTCCGTGTCATCGGGAGCTGGGAATGCCACACTTGGTGAGCCACCGGCGTGCCTCGAGGTTGGCTTTCCTACGCCGCGCGTTGACAGGTGGAGATCCGATTATGGTGGGAATTGTGAGGGACGCGTTCCCTCGTCTTACTATCAATCCCCCCCCATCTCGCGGGTTGAATGCCATCGTAAACCCCGGGATCAACAGAATTTCCTGCGCGTGTGTCGGTTGGCCTTGTTGGCCGTTCCTCGGTCCAGTGACCTTTCTCGGTCTAGAAAGGACTTCTATCGTCTTTTAGTGGAGGGGGTCACGAAGGATTCCCTACGGGAGGAGCTTGACTTGTCGGAGGAGGAGTTTCGCTCTTACTGGCCTTGGGCGCCAGCGGCGGATTACCTCAGTAACCCTGAGTTTTCGCTTACCTGGCAATTGGCTCGGAATCGGCTGCCTCTCAATGACAAGGTCTTTATATGGGCTTGGCGGATTTGCCAGGCTGTGAACGGTGTGGCCTTGATTTAGAAGAAACGGCTTCGCAAGCCTTCTACCATTGTCCCCGGGTCCGCACCTTATGGGACCATGTCGGTGAGCTGACGGCTCGTCTCGCTTCCGAAAGGCTCGTGCCCATTGATTGCGCATACGCGTGTGAAAATGTGTCGCCCCCGTATTCCAGGGTGAAACCGATGGTGTTTCTGACGCTGCTAGCCACGGCCCGAATGGTGATTTGGATGACGCGAATGGAGGAAGTCTTGTGAGGCAACCGTCTTTCTCATCAGGATCCAATTCGATTCTTTGAGCATCAGCTCAAGATGAAGATTAGAACTGATAGAAAACGATTGCATTCGACAGTCTTCAGCGAAAGGTGGGTGAGTGAGGCGAGCCTGATTCGTTTGAACGGGGCTAGCCTTGAATTTCTCTTTTAGGTCAACCCTACGTCACATTGGGGTGGTTTCCTGTGGAGCCCCCCTCCCCTTTGTTAGGTTAGACAAGCTTTTGTGTACCTAGTTAATGTGAGTAAATGTTGTTCCTAGCCTGTTCCCAGCTACATCTTTTGTTATGATCCAAGTTGAGATTCCCAACCTCCCCAGTTTGTTTTTGACCCCTTTTATCTCGACTGGCTCAGCTTTATATTTTCCCTATGGCCGTATAATTTTTATCCCTTTTCCACTCCTTCAGCGAGAGACCTTCTTGATTTTGTCCTAATGGGAAGAATACAGCGGCCTCTCATTTTTGAGGGTTGGACGGGCCCTGCTAACATCAGTTATGTTCAATTTGATTTGTGTTGATATTTAGTTTATTATTGGGTTAATCTCCCTCCCCTCCCCTCTCATTCTTCATTATTAGAATTTTATGTATAATATTTATCATCATTAAATTTTTATGGTATGGGGCACGTTTTGTAGGTCCCCCCCCCTAGAGAGGATGTGGTATTATGGTTCATGGAGGATTGATTGGTGATGGACGAGTTCTTATGGTGAATGATCAAATTGTAATGAGTGAATGGACCATGAATCGGATTAGCTAGGTATAGGATAGTTAGTTAAGACCCCTCCCCTTTTTCGGCCTTGTGCCAGAATTATGTAATTTACATAATAAATATTGTCAAAGTAGACAACAGGGGTAGAAAACCCAAGATCGATGAGATCGCCTTCTTCTTCTGTTTATTTCAGCCACCGAGGTAGATTGTTCTAGTTCCACGTGCCATACCCTTTCTCAGTTTCAGTTATTTCCCTTTAGTAATTCAATTCCCTGAGTTTTTGTTCACTTCTGCTGTAGCCTGGTATTGAACTCAAAAATCTTTGTGTCAAGTCACTGGATTACTTTAACCAACGATATAATCAACTGGGCATTAAAGGTTTTAGTTCGAAATTACAATGTATATCAACTGAAGAAGGCCGGAGCGTACAACGGCCGAAACCTCGTGAATAAGACAATAAAAATGAGGACAACAATTAGAACAATGTAAACAGTATAAATAGAGTGCCTCATAAGTACAGTCAAGTAGCTTCGCTGTCTTTACAAATTTGGTAATTTTTCATGAAGATTCAAGAAAATTAATAGATTGTCGTTCATTCGTCATTTATTTCCATTGGACAATAACTAAAAGTGAAAAGAAGAAAAACAGATTAGACGAAAATCGAATGCACAAACCCGTCACAGAACAAACGCGGGATATTCACGAGCCGAACGCGGGCCACACGTGGGCTGTGTTTTGACCACCACCACCACCGCTCCAAGCCCTCGCGTGTCCAAGAGACTTCGCTTTCTGAATCTGAGTGTAAGTGTCCATTTTGTTCCCATTTTTTCCTTGAGATTTTGATGCTTACGAGTTGCATCCAGAGTATTCTCTGCATCTGTAGAACCGCATCTCTGTTGTCTTTTCTTAATACGTGAGCAAATTGTCTAGCATTCACTACTGTATAGGAGGATGTCTTACCTAAATAACATCCAGTCACGGTCATGTCCTTTCTTTAAAAAGGAACATTTCTCCCTGGGAATGAATAACAACGATATCCCCTTCCTTTTGAAGGATTGTCAAATCAGAACACTTGCTAAACAGCCGACGTATTTGCATTATCGTGAATGTTCTCTGTATTTTGAATGCACAGTCCTAATTATAAATTTCATAGCAGAGTTTAGCCAAAATTAGGTGTAAAAAGTTTGGGAAAAAACAAATCTATTCACCATTCAATAACAACGGCAGCAGCCTCGAGATGGCTGAAAAGACAAAGTGATTGGCAGTCAGTGAGGAGATGAGAAGAAGTTGATATTTTTTATTTTTTTTATGATTATGGTTTTTCTGTTGAGTGTGGGTAAGTCTTGGGTATGACCTAAAATTGCGCCCGACAATTAAGTTTCGTTTAGGGAACAGAATTATGGTACCCCGAACCAGTGTTACCTAAGGGTGATCTGTGGCTAAGATCTAGTACCTGTTTCCAGCACTCTACCAGAGTTACGGTTTTGTAGATATGTATGTTGGTGTGTGTGTCTGTGTTGATATGTGTATGTGTGTGTGTGTGTGTGTGTGTGTTGGTGTGTGTGTGTGTGTGTGTGTAACTCCCACATGGGAGGGCAATTTTTTTTTTACTCTTCGGCCTGATGATTAACATGAATGCAAATGGGATAAGTGCAAGCAGAATGTGATTCATGAGCATGTTTTTGTGAGTACACACACACACACACACACACACACACACACACACTTTCGTCCTCCTTACTGGCCGGGCTTTCGGCTTCCCTACTGGCCGGGCTTTCGTCCTCCTTACTGGCCGGGCTTTCGGCTTCCCAACTGGCCGGGCTTTCAGCTTCCCTACTGTTCGGGCTTTCGGCCTCTCTACTGGTCGGGCTTTCGTCCTCCCTACTGTTCGGGCTTTCGGCCTCTCTACTGGCCGGGCCTTCGGCTTCCCTACTGGTCGGGCTTTCGGCCTCTCTACTGGCCGGGCTTTCGGCTTCCGTACTGGCCGGGCTTTCGTCCTCCTTACTGGCTGGGCTTTCGTCCTCCTTACTGGCCGGGCTTTCAGCTTCCCTACTGGCCGGGCTTTCGTCCTCCTTACTGGCCGGGCTTTCAGCTTCCCCTACTGGCCGGGCTTTCGTCCTCCTTACTGGCCGGGCTTTCGGCCTCTCTACTGGCCGGGCTTCCGTCCTCCTTACTGGCCGGGCTTTCGGCTTCCGTACTGGCCGGGCTTTCGTCCTCCGTACTGGCCGGGCTTTCGTCCTCCTTACTGGCCGGGCTTTCGGCTTCCGTACTGGCCGGGCTTTCAGGTTCCCTACTGTTCGGGCTTTCGGCCTCTCTACTGGCCTGGCTTTCGTCCTCCTTACTGGCCGAGCTTTCGACTTCCCTACTGGCCGGGCTTTACTATACCGGATATTCACAAGCGTTCCCCACTACTGGCCGGGCTTTCGTCCTCCTTACTGGCCGGGCTTTCGGCTTCCCTACTGGCCGGGCTTTCAGGTTCCCTACTGTTCGGGCTTTCGGCCTCTCTACTGGCCGGGCTTTCGTCCTCCTTACTGGCCGGGCTTTCGCCTTCCCTACTGGCCGGGCTTTCAGGTTCCCTACTGTTCGGGCTTTCGGCCTCTCTACTGGCCGGGCTTTCGTCCTCCTTACTGGCCGGGCTTTCGACTTCCCCTACTGGCCGGGCTTTCGGCTTCCCTACTGGTCAGGCTTTCGGCCTCTCTACTGGCCGGGCTTTCGTCCTCCTTACTGGCCGGGCTTTCGGCTTCCCCTACTGGCCAGGCTTTCGGCTTCCCTACTGGTCGGACTTTCGGCCTCTCTCTACTGGCCAGGCTTTCGTCCTCCTTACTGGCCGGGATTTCGGCTTCCCTACTGGCCGGGCTTTCGTCCTCCTTACTGGCCGGGCTTTCGGCTTCCCTACTGGCCGGGCTTTCAGCTTCCCTACTGGTCGGGCTTTCGGCCTCTCTATTGGCCGGGCTTTCGTCCTCCTTACTGGCCGGGCTTTCGGCTTCCCTACTGGCCGGGCTTTCAGGTTCCTTACTGTTCGGGCTTTCGGCCTCTCTACTGGCCGGGCTTTCGTCCTCCTTACTGGCTGGGCTTTCGGCTTCCCCTACTGGCCGGGCTTTCAGGCTTCCCTACTGGTCGGGCTTTCGGCCTCTCTACTGGCGGGCTTTCGTCCTCCCTACTGTTCGGGCTTTCGGCCTCTCTACTGGCCGGGCTTTCGGCTTCCCCTACTGGTCGGGCTTTCGGCCTCTCTACTGGCCGGGCTTTCGGCTTCCGTACTGGCCAGGTTTTCGTCCTCCTACTGGCCGGGCTTTCGGCTTCCCTACTGGCCGGGATTTCGTCCTCCTTACTGGCCAGGCTTTCGGCTTCCCCTACTGGCCGGGCTTTCGTCCTCCTTACTGGCCGGGCTTTCGGCCTCTCTACTGGCCGGGCTTTCGTCCTCCTTACTGGCCGGGCTTTCGGCTTCCCTACTGGTCGGGCTCGGCCTCTCTACTGGCCGGGCTTTCGTCCCCCTTACTGGCCTGGCTTTCGGCTTCCATACTGGCCGGGCTTTCGTCCACCATACTGGCCGGGCTCTCGGCTTCCCCTACTGGCCGGGCTTTCGTCCTCCTTACTGGCCGGGCTTTCGGCTTCCGTACAGGCCGGGCTTTTCGTCCTCCTCCTTACTGGCCGGGCTTTCGGCCTCTCTACTGGCCTGGCTTTCGTCCTCCTTACTGGCCGGGCTTTCGGGCTCTCTACTGGCCTGGCTTTCGTCCTCCTTACTGGCCGGGCTTTGGCTTCTGTACTGTCCAGGCTTTCGTCCTCCCCTTACTGGCCGGGCTTTCGGCCTCCCTACTGGCCTGGCTTTCGTCCTCTTTACTGGCCGAGCTTTCGACTTCCCTACTGGCCGGGTTTTCACCGTCCCTACTGGCCGGGCTTTACTATACCGGATATTCACAAGCGTTCCCCCCCTACTGGCCGGGCTTTCGTCCTCCTTACTGGCCGGGCTTTCGGCTTCCCCTACTGGCCGGGCTTTCAGGTTCCCTACTGTTCGGGCTTTCGGCCTCTCTACTGGCCGGGCTTTCGTCCTCCTTACTGGCCGGGCTTTCGGCTTCCCCTACTGGCTGGCTTTCAGGTTCCCTACCGTTCGGGCTTTCGGCCTCTCTACTGGCCGGGCTTTCGTCCTCCTTACTGGCCGGGCTTTCGACTTCCCTACTGGCCGGGCTTTCGGCTTCCCTACTGGTCGGGCTTTCGGCCTCTCTACTGGCCGGGCTTTCGTCCTCCTTACTGGCCGGGCTTTCGGCTTCCCCTACTGGCCGGGCTTTCAGGTTCCCTACTGTTCGGGCTTTCGGCCCTCTCTACTGGCCGGGCTTTCGTCCTCCCTACTGTTCGGGCTTTCGGCCTCTCTACTGGCCGGGCTTTCGGCTTCCCTACTGGCCGGGCTTTCGGCCTCTCTACTGGCCAGGCTTTCGTCCTCCTTACTGGCCGGGCTTTCGGCTTCCCTACTGGCCAGGCTTTCGTCCTCCTTACTGGCGGGCTTTCGGCTTCCCCTACTGGCCGGGCTTTCGTCCTCCTTACTGGCCAGGCTTTCGGCTTCCCTACTGGCCGGGCTTTCGTCCTCCTTACTGGCCGGGCTTTCGGCCTCTCTACTGGCCGGGCTTTCGTCCTCCTTACTGGCCGGGCTTTCGGCTTCCCTACTGGTCGGGCTTTCGGCCTCTCTACTGGCCGGGCTTTCGTCCTCCTTACTGGCCTGGCTTTCGGCTTCCGTACTGGCCGGGCTTTCGTCCTCCTTACTGGCCGGGCTTTCGGCTTCCGTACTGGCCGGGCTTTCGTCCTCCTTACTGACCTGGCTTTCGGCCTCTCTACTGGCCTGGCTTTCGTCCTCCTTACTGGCCGGGATTTCGGCTTCCGTACTGTCCGGGCTTTCGTCCTCCTTACTGGCCGGGCTTTCGGCTTTCCTACTGGCCGGGCTTTCAGGTTCCCTACTGTTCGGGCTTTCGGCCTCCCTACTGGCCTGGCTTTCGTCCTCCTTACTGGCCGAGCTTTCGACTTCCCTACTGGCCGGGTTTTCACCGTCCCTACTGGCCGGGCTTTACTATACCGGATATTCACAAGCGTTCCCCACTACTGGCCGGGCTTTCGTCCTCCCTACTGGCCTGGCTTTCAGCTTCCCTATTGATCGGGCTTTCGGCCTCTCTACTGGCCGGGCTTTCGTCCTCCTTACTGGCCGGGCTTTCGGCTTCCCTACTGGCCGGGCTTTCGGCTTCCCTACTGGCCGGGCTTTCACCGTCCCTACTGGCCGGGTTTGACGCTGCTTAATTAAGCAAATAGATAGTGGGACAAGTATTCAAAAACAAATAGTGAAGAATTGCCTAGAGTAATAAAAGATAGGAGGTTGTGGAGAGCAATAATCAAAATGTCAGAGTGTGTGTGTGTGTTTGTGTGTGTGTGTGTGTGTGTGTAAGAGAAATAGAGTTGTTAATGTAAGAGAGAGTCGGTATTAGAAAGATAAAAAGAAAACGAAGATATTTTTGTGGCCGATGTGTGGTGATGGGATGAGGATAAGTGTTTGTATATATAAGAATCAAGATTTTCATTCATTTTTTCTAAAAGTGTAATACTCGGATCTTTATTTTCGTTTCTTTGAGGTTCCAGTAGTGTGGGGGTTGGTGGTGGGTCCTGTAGTTTTTTTCCCCCTCAGTCAAATATTCTCGACGGAATAACTTACGAATGAGTGGCATCTTCGCTTGCTGTTGTTTAAATATAACATTTTATCTCCATCTTTCTTTCTTTCTTTCTCAAACACACACACGCAGACACCTCTCTTTTCCTTCTTTACTTCGTTTTTAACCCCCCACTTCTCGTTTTACCACCGCCCCAACAACAACATTCCTCTTTAACCACAACACACACACACACACACACACACACACACGCAGAAAAAACGAGGTAAAGCCCCTATTATTCCCCAGAAGTCATGATCCTACTCAAAAACAAAAGAGCATAACTTATTTTCTGTTACTTTTATTTATTTATTTATTTATTGGAGAACAAGTCTTCTATTGTCTTAAACATATTTTGGGGGTGCAGTGCGAAGGAAAAGATGGGAGTGGTTCCTAAAAATTAAATCATTCGAGATTTCACATTTAATTGCAGATTTTGTATTTTATGCTTGTGTTTACATTGGCATAAGGACAAAAATATTGAGTGCCGAGTGTAAATATGCATTCAGCCTTGTTTATTATAGCACAACGACCCGAACTGCTCAGAGTAAGTAATGTTATTAGTGATTACTCAGCTAAATAACGATCAGGCTGAATACTGCTTAACTTCGATGATCAGAGAAGAACAGTTGATTCCAGCGTCATTGGCCGCAAGTTGTGGCGCTGGAGACCAATTTTGGAGAGTGACTAACAAAGATAGTACATCATACCCACGGTTTCAGACAAACTTGATAATCATCGTGCTACAGTAGGCACCCAGTGAATTTAAATATATACCTTTGGTCACAATACGAGTTCACCCATGGAAGATTGAAACCACTACACAATAGCCACTGTAGCAGATCGCAATACTTATTGCTAACGATTGATTCGAGGACCTCACAGTAGTGTGGATCGAAGTCACTACTCATTGCTAATGATCAATTCGAACCACTAGCAATAATGTGGATCAAACTCATTATTCATTGCTAATGATCAATTCGAGTCCCTTGCAATAGTGAGGATCGAACACTTTACTTATTCTGTCTCTATTTCTGAGATGAGGTATTATGTACAGTATTTACATTATTCGGACTATTGTCCTCATCTTTGTCGCCATATTTATTACAACGTTTCGGCCTTTCAGTATCTGTCTATATTTCTGAGATGAGGTATTATGTACAGTATTTACATTAGTCGGACTATTGTCATCATCTTTGTCGCCATATTTGTCACAACGTTTCGGTCGTTGTACGCTTCTTCAGGTGGTTGGAATTCACTTTATCCACTGTGCCATGTGTCCCCAAGGACACATGGCACAGTGGATAAAGGCGTTGGTTAGATCCAGTGACAGACCCAAATAAGGTGAGTTCAATACCTGGTTAAGGCAGTGGAGAACTTTCAGAGGGAAAATTAGCAGGAGATAACTGATAACTGACATCCATCAAACATGGCACGTGGAACTAGAACAGTCTACCCCAGTGATCGAAATAAAGAGTTCAGTTCGAAATTCCATGTGGATCGCAGTCACTACTCTTTGCTAATATATTTAGTTACCCCCACGAGGGTTGCATGTGGCACAAGACCGGTTTAACGTGGGTTCTCCGAGCCCGAAGGCTTGGCCAAAAATATTCCCTTTCGAACCAGTATAAACAGGTTCAGGGGCAGTCCACCTCCCAGAACGAGAGTCTGCCTTTCGGCTGAGCCTCGTCCGGGTTTCTCTCTGCCCGAAGGCAGAGAGTTTGACTGTCTAGCTGGAACAGATCCTAGCTAGTCTACTCATTGCTAATGATAGAATCTTGCTATTCGCTATAGTTATAATCGAACTCATCATTCATTGATAATGATCAATTCGAGCCCCTCGTAATAGTGAGGTTCGAACTCTGTACTCATTGTTAACGATTGATTTGGGAACCTCACAATAATCGAGATCGGAATCACTAGTCATTGCTAATGATTGATTCGAGTCCCTCGCTATAGTTAGGATCGAACTCATTACTCATTGAGGCGTGATCGATTTGAGGACCCCGCAATAGTGTGGGTTGCACTTGCTACTCAGTAGTAATGATCGACACGAGCACATTTCAATAGCGATGATTGATGTCACTACTCATGGCCGATCCCGTCACACATTAAGCTAATATGACGGCGAAGCTGAGCTTAATCACACGGATCCATTGTTCAGTCAACTCTCAGCATTGAACTCAAAAAAAAAAAATAACCATCTTTGAGACAAGCTTGTTCAAAACTGCTCCCCGCGCACAGTTTATTTTTTCTATGTATTTGAGCGTGTGTATAATTTGGGGGCAAGAAATGAACAGGGAAAGGGTGTGTGAGAGATCTTTTCTTGGTGTTGATTGGAGTTAAGACTACCCAGGTTTTTCTTCTTTTTTTTTTGTTTTGTTTCTGACATTGGGGGGGGCGTTATTCGCGTAACCTTGGCATCTTTCTCAGCTTCAGCTTCTGACAGGTCGGCATTTCACATCATATCTTTATCAAGTCGAACACTTAACTACACATCAAATATGTATAAATACACACACACACACACACACACACACACACACACATATATATATATATATATGTATATGTGCGTGTGTGTGTTTTTTATGTGTGTATGCAATGTGGGCCAAAAATTTGAGACCACCCTGCATTTTCCTAAAAAATATATATATATATATATATATATATATATATATATATATATATATATATATGAGCTATATTTGTGTTTTTTTAAGTAACTGCAGTGGATTTGCTTTCATGATTCAGTTTTTCTCCATTTCTTCTATTAAAATCTTCGAATTGATTCATGATAGGTTTATGATATTGTTGTATGATCATATTTTTTATATATATATATATGTGTGTGTGTGTGTGTGTATCACTTTCTATAAAAAATAATCTAAGCTCTACTTCTGTATGGAGCACTGTTTTTTAAAAATTCAAACAAAAATACTAAAGAACCGTGGATTATTTACCTAACGTGTTCTTTTCCTATTTTCTACATACCTGCACACACACATATATATATATATATATATATATATATATATATATATATATATATATTAAAAAGAAGATAGAGATCGCAAACGGTTTTTAAAAATATTATGCTTTATTTTCCATAATTTTGCATAATATTTTGAAAAAATCCACATTACAACCAAAAACATTTGCAGTTTCTCTCTTCTTTTTAATATACACACTTTTCTCTCGTTAGAACTACTATAGCCCCTTCCTTATATATATATATATATATATATATATATATATATATATATATATATATATATATATATATATATATATATCATTGTTTTATGTTATTTATATAGGCAAAAAATATTATTTAAGTAAATGCTCTTTTTATAATAAACAGTATTAATATTTAACGGCCTGAATGTCCAAGAAATTTCATAGAAAATAAGCGTCCTCTGACAGGAATGGAACCTGTATCCTACACGGAACCGTCATATAGCCGTCATATGTTATAAAATCACAACAAAAATAGCCATTTTGTTTCAACACCTCCGGTGTCTTATCAAGTGATGATGTTGATATATAAGACATTTTTATGTTTATACATTCTATTTATAGATACAAATATTTAAGTAATATTTAAGGGATCGAACCTGTATCCTATACGGAACCGTCATTGAGCCTGACGTGCCTTAACCGATCGAGCCACTAAAAATAATTGTCGGAGTTTGTCCATTTCATAATGTGTGACGTCATTTGTTTACATTTGGATACGCATTGAACATATATGAATGTACGTGAGAGAATCATGGAAGATTGAAATTTAAAAGCAGTAAAATCGACCTTTCTAATCGAACGATTCTCCGTGGCTCAATCGGTTAAAGGCACGTCAGGCTAACTGACGGTTCTGTTTAGGATACAGGTTCGGTTCTTGTCGGAGGACGAATTTTTTCTATGAAAATTTTTCGGACATTCAGGCCGGTAAATGTTATTAATACTGTTTATTATAAAAACAGAGCATTGACTTAAATATTTGCATCTATAAAAAAGAATGTATAAACATAAAAATGTCTTAAAAATAATTGTCGGGCTTTGACCATTTCATAATATATATATATATATATATATATATATATATATTTGAGTTTTCCAGCGAATTGAGGTTCATTTTTAGAGGTCTTCTGAGAAATGAAGTTCTATTTTTAGAGGTCTCCAGGGAATTAAGGTCTTTTATAGAGGTCTCCAGAGAATTGAATTTCTTTTTTAGAGGTCTTTAGCGAATTGAATCTCTTTTTTAGGGGTCTCCAAAGAATTGAAGTTCTTTTTTTGCAGGCTTACAGAGAACAATTCAAATTCTTCCATTAAAATAATTTTGTAGATTTCAAAATAAATAGTAATCCGACTCTGCGAAGTATATACCAAGGTATACCGACTGTAATAATAAAATTGTCCAAATCGTGTAAAAGCAAAGTTGTCCTTTTGTTAGATTAAAATTTGAACCGCTGCCTCTTAAAATGATTAAAGATATCTTACTGGAATTCTCCGAGGTTTTTATAACACTATTGGACTCTACTTTGAGCAATAAGATTGTATAATTTCTCTCTAAGCTTAACAGA